AAATACAGACACAAGATTTGTTTTTGAGACCTTTGTCTTTCTTGATGCAGGCAGAGATAATCAAAGCACATTACAGTGGCAGATACAGAAAACTGCCTAACTCATCAAAAATGCATGCTTTGAGATTTGCTATCTGGCTAACTTTTCTCTGACAGGCTCATTGCTAAACTGTGCCATCTGGATGCATCAAGGAGCAAGAGGCCCCAGCAAGGGCAGACATATTAGAGGGCGTATTTCATACAATTAGCCATATGACCTGTAATCCCTGTGCACCAAGTCCACATCAAACTCGGATTTTAGAGTGACCACAAGAACTGTACATCTGCCGGGACACAAGTCATCAAATGGGGTTTTCCAGAAACAGATAAAGCACAGCTTAAAAAAAGGATTTTCAATAAACAATACCTTCTCAATATAAAACTAATTCCAAGGGCTCTCCAAGGGTTCTAGATAGAATCATAACAATTCAAAGAATTTTAAAAGTGAATGCTTACATGTTTTTGGGAGTTCTGAAAATAGTTATTTTTATGTGTGCCTTTCTTATTATGCTAAAATTACCTTCACGAGGTTCTGATGATCATGTATATTATCTACTGTCTATTGCATTATTATTAATAATAGTAGGAGAAGCAAAAGTAGTAGTAATAGTAGTAGTAGTAGTAGTAATAGTAGTAGTGTTGTAGTAGTAGTAGTAGTTTATACAAAACAATATATAATAATAATATAATATAATAATAATATCATAAGAAATGTGATATCAGGGTAAAAACAAGCAGAGTTAGGTCCACAGTTTCCTTTATATAACATGATATATTCTTACATATAGTTTCTTAAAGAACTTTTTAAAATGGTTCTAGCACCAAAACAAGACTCATTGTTATATGTTTTCTGGCACTGTATAGAACTCTTTTTTGCTCAAAGTTATAGGCTCAGTTGGTGTGTAGAAACTGTCCAGACTATGTTTTCTACCTTAATGTGAATTTGATAATAAACATAGTTGGCACTGACAGTGAGACGCTATATATCACAATTAAAAGGCAAGTTCCAAAAAGAGACACAAAGCAAAAACTCAGTTCCCACCAGACACCACTTATGTGACTGTGATTAGCTGCAGGGCAAAAGTCATGATTCATCTCCCAACATCAGACTCTTAAATTAGCTCCTGCGGACAGATTCCCACTGGCAACATAACAACAGTGCTGCAAATGAAGTGTACAGTAATCACGTCAAGCCGCTAAATCAAGGGGACCTTACTCTGGTCCTGAAGGGCCGGAGATGAGCGCAGTTTAGTGACTGTCCCACTCAAAAACACTTCAAGTCATCATTTCAAGACACCGCATCTTATATTTTGTTTTCCTTTTTTTTTTTGTTTTGTTTTTTGTTTTTTTATGGATTTATGTTCCAATTTTTTCTTGACACTTTTCTAAACTCTCTTCTTTAGAAGTAAACCGGCTGTTTTTGTTACCGGGCCTTTAAGACTGATATATGTAAATGATCTGTGTTCTAACTGGCTCCACTGTATTGTCCTGTCTGAATCATTCCTTACAGCTTCAACATAAATGGACTAAACTGCTGCGGGTTCAATAGGCAGTTATATGTAAATGCATTGTTTTTGTGATATAACATAACATTCAAAATAGGCTCAATTGCTTTTTACGTATGTAAGTAATGCTTATGTTTTGGAAGCTTTAGCAATGTTTACCTACTACATCAAAAGTATTTTTGAAAAAAAAAGAAAAATTGCTTTCCCATTATGTGAGCCCCTAATTACCTGGTTTAGTAGATGCGGTACAGCATGAAAAGCATGAAACTGTGAACTTCTGGACTTCATTTCCACAGTTTGGCTCATACATTGAGAAATTATTGAGGAATTATAAGACAGATGAGTTAGAACTACATTACCCATGATTACCCTTCGCCAAGGCTTGTTATCTCACAAGAGGTAGTGATTAACAAGGCATAGAGGCTTTCTGGGGTAAACCTATTTTGCATGTAAACATTGCTCTTCAATTAATATTCACACAGCTGAGGAAGAGTATGCCTGCCTGGAATTAGAAACCAGTGTTTTTTTTTTAAACAAACAAATTTTGGGCATTCATTTCATTACAGCAATGCCAACAAATGTATGAACGTTTGGCCTAGCTGGGCAATTCTGATTATGGACGTACTACCCCAGCACGTTATTTCAAAGGCAGCCAATCGCAAAATTGTGATTCAGATTCTGTTTTTTCTGCTCAAGATCACAAGACCTTGAGCTTATCCCAAAAATCATGTTTTTATTTTTTTTTCACAGTAACTGTGTTGTGAAATGACTCACATTCATCTGTCAAAGAGGTCCCTTCCCAGCTGTTTTAAGAGCTCCTCCAAAAACAAGGCCTAAACACTCCAGCCAAGGTGTGTTTGTCCCTCTTCACGGCTAGATGAAATGTGTTAACACACAACACGGTGTAACAAAAGGCTAAAAAGACAAGGTTGATGTGATTCAGCACCGGGAGCTGTCCACAAAGGCAGCAGCAAACATACACTATATGTCCAAGCATACAGACAGCCATCCTAATTAATGAAATCTGCTACTTTAAGGTGAACTTGTTGCTGATGTAGATGTTTATGCACGCAAAGCTTGTATGATCTCTATAGAACAGCACTGGCAATAGAATAGAATGCTCTGGAGCAGCCACACAAGAGCCTAAGATCACCATGCCCAATGCCAAGCTTCAGCCATAGGGGTATAAGCCCTTCAGCACTGGGCTGTGGAGCCGAGTTCTCTGGAGTGATGGAGCTCCATCCAATTCCTTTGGGCATTTGTAATCCTAATTATCCAACATTAGTACCTGACCTCACTAATGCTCTTGTGGCCACTACATGTTCCAACATCTAGTGTAAAGCCTTCCCAAAAGAGAAGAGGCTGTTTATACAGTAAAGAGGGGCCAGTACTACATGAATACCCTTGATTTAAGAGAAAATACTGGATGAATAGATGTATACATACTTTTGTACATATAGTCTATGTACATAACTCATTAAAATATATGAAATTCACATTAAAATGTTAATAATGTATCCAATTAATGAGCTATTATGAAAAGAAATATGAAAATGACCTGTTCTAACACATAACATATAAACTGTCAACATGACAAAACTATCACTTTACTTTTGCATCAGAAATATGTACATTTCCAGGTTATTTTGCATTGTCTCTGTTCCACATTGTCTGACAGTCTAACACTATAATAAAGTGAAGTGGTGCTTCTCACATGCAGAAATCCACATATGAATTTCCTTCAGAAACCTTTCTCCAGACCTAATACAGACCTCTAATCCCTATCTGGGTGAAATACTATACCCCGTTATACTGCAACAAAGGGGGCCAGCTCTTCATTAATACTCTTGATTTACACTGTTAGAAATAAAGGTGCTGTGCAGGTACAATTCTCGTTTATCAAGGTACAAACAATGTAAATATACCTTCCAAGGTACAACAGTGGTTTTAAGGTCTAATTATCTACCTTAAATAATCCCAGGTGAAAAATACGTATTTGTACCTAAGGTTTTAAAACAAACAATAAAATAAAAAAGCCTGGAGACGAGTGTATGGTGTCAGTACAACTTAAAAAATTGCAATGGATTATGGTAAACTTATGTTCCCTGACTAAAGGTACTGAGATGTGCCCTTGAGGGTACCACCCCAGTGATAAGAGAGGAACTGCCCCAGTGACAGTTTCATTCCTTTATTTCTGAGAGTGTAGGAAGGTGGGTGAGAAGACGAGTGTCTACAAACTTTTGGACATATAGTGTAGCCAGCCTGCAAGATCCGTCTCAGAAACTTCACGCTGACACGAACAAAATCTGGATTGCATAACAAAGTCTTAAGTAAGCCTGAGACGCAGCGCACACTCGGACAGACTGCGAGTCCTTTGATAAAATTTCAGATAGAAATGATGGTCTTCTTCACAAGTCAGACCTGACTGTTTCACCGCTGTTTTGTTACAGAGTGAAAATGCTGACGTTGGCTTTAGTCTCCATCAATGCGAGGGATGTATGGTTTCTTATTAGCTGACAGAGACAGACAGAGGAGGGGAGCTGATATTCTCCCCAGCACTTTTCCACGAAACATCCATCTCCATTCCGCCAGCAGCACCAAACATCCACCCAAGATCACAACTAAAATGCCAAAGGAGAAAAACGTAGCACTGCTACGTCAACTCTACAGCAAACAGCGCTTCTCTGGACTGAAGCTCTGCAAAGAGAAATGACCAAACAAACGAGGGAGAGAAAACTGAAACAGATGGTGCTTCGAGTTTACGTGATTCAAACGTGTCAAACGTTCACACGTGAATAAAACCTGTTACAGCAACACAGTTTCATTCTGCTTCTTCAGGCAGCAACTGTAACAATTACATTTACACGTCGTCATAAATTCAAAGCACTTTTTTCCAATGAAATTCGTGATGCTTACTGGAAACTTGTGTTTGCTGCAGAAATGGGATACAGGCACGTTTCAGATTCTCCCCCATTTTAAAAAAAGACCACGTTTGCTAAAGCCAGCAACATAAAGCCATCATCTTGGCTCTTTGCTGATAAAGACCATCCTTTCCATCCCTTTCAGTTCAGGACCTGAATTGTGCTGAACTCAGCTGAGCCGCTGCTGCTGATGTCAAACCTCCCGCGTCGCCTTTAACTGCACGCATCGGGCTTCGCTTTCACAACTCAACACATTCATCCTATTTCCGCTGAGCACAATAGAGCCAAGACGAGCCCATCCACGCACGTCTGTCTGGACCTCAAATCCAAACGGTCCTGAAGCCCCTCGGCGTCGCTTTTAGTCGCTGTTTACACGGTGATTTGTAGAGCAGCGTGTTAAACATGGCTGTGCGCTGTCTGCCACTGTACACGCTACTCAACGCACATCATGACGGAGCCCTGACTCAAAAAGCAGGCGGACACAGTAAAGACTCCCCGAGCCGTGTCCCTACAGAGAGACAACGGGAAATACTCACGATGGGCCATCGATCGGTCCTCGGCTGCCATGGCTGAAAAGGGGGCCAAGCACCCCCAGGAGTGAGAGCTGAGTGAGGGCTGTGCGCCGGATGCTGCTGATGCTGCTGCTGCTGCTGCTGCTTTCCCTGCTCAACCGCGCTCACTGTGGGGAGAAATCACATCAGCCTCGTTGGTGTGTCTGGTGGTGGTGGTGGTGGTGGTGGGGGGAGGCGGGGGGCGATAAAGCAAAAGCGCTCCTCCAATAAGAACCAAAGCAGAAACGATGAACAGTGAAACGGCCTGGAAAGCCTTTAGCACGCACTGTAAGTTCCACAATGAAAACAAAAAAAAGATAGTAGAAAATGCAAAGGATTACCTAGATGCCTACGGTCCTATGCAAAAGTTTGAGCCCCAAATTGCATGGTTTGTTGAACTTAAATATGACATTTTTCTACAAATTTTGTTGCACAAGTGCTGTTTGTTTACTAAATTTAAGACATTTAGGGGAAAAAATAAAACATAAAATATAAAACATGCCAACTTTTACACAAGTTTTTTCCAATATGTTAAATGCAGCAAATTACAGAGCCCTGCTGGTGACATCCTGCATAAGCAAAAATAATGTGTCATGTCACGCATTAGGATCTCGTTCCCACACGTTAATATGCCGTGGCCAAGATAATTAAGTCATGGACATTCCCACACCTTACTAAGAAATGTGTTCTCTGTAGAAGATGTATTCACTTATTTTCACTTAGAAAGTCAACAAAATACAGAATTTGACCAGGGGCACCAACATTTTTGCATACAACTGTACATACTGATCAAAGATGAAAAGACTGATAGAAGGCCAGTTATGAGAACAAAGGTGCCAAAATGGTTCTTTGGAGCGATGACTCAGATGAACCACTTTTGGTTCCTGAAAGAACCTTTCAATGGATGATTCTTTAAAGAACCTCCACATAATCTAAAGCCTTCATATCAGAGATGCATGGTCGAAATGAACTAAGATCAGAATTGGCAGATTTTTGTTCCAAATACAAGATTGGCAATTTGACAGTTTATTAATTTTATTATTTTATTTTATGACCTAAATAATGTGAGGTGGTTTAGTGCACTTGTACTGCATTTGAAAGCTCCTGCTGCTCATACACAAAAATATTGTAGAATAATTATACATGACTCATTGTGCTAAACAGCCAGTCACCTCTTACTTTTTGTATAGTGCTTTATTTGATTCATAAATCAAATAAATAATTTATTTGATTCATTAAAGAGAAATTGGAATCGTTCCATAAAATGAATGATCAGTACATTGTTTTATTCTGTACCAGTTAAAGGTTTTTCCTAGAACTGTATGTCCATGCAAGTAACAATTTGAGAACTACTATTTTCAAGAATGTACACTCATACAAATAAAGTTCCCAAAAAGAATTTGTAACGTTGGGAGAGATGATGAGGCAGGATACAAGTGAAAGTCCTTGATTTGCACTTGATTTGACCTTGCACAAAGGTAACAAAACAAGAGAGAAGACTAAAACAAGAACAAAAGTACATAGAACACGAAAGGCTGAAACAGAGAAGGGAAGGACAATGATAGGGCAAGTCAGGATGTTACAGAAGCCCCACCTCTAAAGTTCAAATCCCGAGGTGCAGAACAGAACACACCAAGGGAGCTAGTTCAGAGGAGAGGCTGGAAACAAGGGCTGGACAGGGGACTGAACAATGGACTGGACAGGGGAACAGATAGGGGACTGGACATGAGACCAAAAAGAGGACTTGACAAAAGACTGGGTATGAAAACTGGACAAAAGACTGGATGGGAGACTGGACCGTGGGACAGAACAGGAGATGGGACAGGAGTTTGAACACATGACTGAATGAAGAGCTGAACTAGTAACTGGAGTAACACAGACATTGGGAGAGGGACAGATGTGGCTACTGGGACAGGGATGGCAACATTAACAGGAACGGGTACAGAAAGACCAACTGAGTCAAGGACAGTGACAGTGATGGTGATAGTGACAGTCAGACACATGCATAGTAACAGGGACTGAATAAAACTAGGGACTGGAGACTCAATATTAAGAATGTCAGACTAGGGAGAGAACTGGAAGGGTGGCCTGGCAGGGAACTGGAACAGTTGGGTGAATGGTACTGGAACAGGGCATAGAGTAGACATTAGAACGTGTTGTGGAGCCCATACTGTAGCAGGTCTCGGGGAGGCCGGTACTGGAGTGGGCCGCTGGAAGGCTGGCACTGTTGTGGGCCGCTGGGAGGCTGGTGCTGGGGCATGACGGGGAGACTGGGCCACACTGATGTCCTCGGTGGCAGGTTGGGCCGCACCAACATCCTCGGTGGCAGGGAAACTGCAGCAACATCCTCAGCGGCACGTGGGCCTGCTGCAACGTCCATGGAGGCAGGTGGGCCTGCAGCTTTCACCTCAGAAGGAGCAGCAGACTGGGCAGAGGCCTCAGCAGGAGTTACCCCAACTACCTCAGGGGCAGGTGGCAGTTCACTGGTGCTCTCCAGAGCACTGGGTGGCACAGTGATGGCTTGCTTGTGTTCTCTGAAGTGCTGGGCAAAGCTGTGAGGCCAGGGTGAGCTGTAGCCCTCTCAAGGACACTATACAGCACAGGGGAATGAGAGAGTTCCCCCAAAAAACATTCCTCCGATTTGTGCCTTGGAAATTGAGAAAACATAGCTTACAGCAGCTTACAAAATCCATCCAAAGTCCTGGCTTCTTTGGCTTTCTTTTCAAGAATAATATCCGCCCATGAAGATTCCTGCCCATCATACTCACAGGGGATGGCCATGGTGGATGGAAATAAAAAAGATTTTCCTGTCTAAAGTATAGAAACCAGATTCTCAAGATGTTTCAAGTACTTATCCAGGGAATAAATCCGACTTGCTGCATCCATTGTTGGCTTGGTGTCATGTAATATTGGGAGAGATGAAGAGGCAGGATGCAAGTCCTTGGTTTTATTAATCCAGAATACAAAGCTATCCACAAAGGTGACAAAACAAAGACAGAACACTCTGAACACAATATGGAAACATAAAGGAAACCAAAGACAGAAGAACCTGAAGAAAACTAGAAAATATTGAGAGAAACTGGGCCTGAGAGAACAAAACACCAAGCAAACACAAAGCACACTAAGAGGGGTATAAATGTACATGGAACAGACCAGAAACACCTGGGACTAAAGAGAGGGCAGGGCTGCAGACAACAGACAGGTGAGACAGATAACAAGAAGGCAGGACCAGGAAGAGGGCAAAGACCAAAACAACAACAAAAGCACATGGCTGACATAAACAACTACACATGGAACAAGACAACAGAGGCTGAAACAGAGAAAGACGAGACAGGATGTTACAGAGTTCTTTGCCCAATTCTATACAAGAACCATTTTTAGTTCCCTAAAGAACCTTTCAATTCCAAGTTCCTTGGAGAACTATTTTTGTAAATGAGATAAGTGGATGTGAAGAACCTTTTTAAAGTTTGAAGAACCTCCACACAATGTAAAGGTATAGAACCTAAAAGGTTTTTAACTTTAAAACGTTCTTCAAATCACTGATCTCTTTATCACCAGTCTTAAAAATAAATGCGCAAAAAAGGGTTCTTTGAGCAATGCCATAAAAGAACCACTTTTTGTAGATTCATGAGTGTGAAAGAACTTTTAAGCTTAAAGAAACTTCACACTTCACATAATGGTTAACTTAAGGGTTCTTCCTTATGTTAAGTGGAGGTTCTTTGAGCTTTAAAACGGTTATTTCCACTTATACATCTCATTTACAAAAATGGTTTTCTAAAGAACCGTGATTCTTCCATGGCATCTGACCTGTATGGGGGAATGTATGGGGTAATAAGAAAGGAAGAAAATATGGTAGTTAATGAGAGAGAGAGAGGAGAGAGAGAGAGAGAGAGAGAGAGAGAGAGAGAGAACGAGCGAGCATGGTGCTGTTTTAATGAGCCCAGCTTTAGAGGTGCTGTTCCATTTGGAGAGAGTGCAAAGTAGGACATCAGTGGCCTGAGTCCGAACATAAAGGAAATTTCCACTGAACTTGTTTTGCCTTTTCTTCCCCACCCGGAAGAATTAATGGCTACACAATCACTAGATCCCAGTATGAATGCTTTCAGACTGGCATAGCTGGCCAGCACTTTGTAGGGTGGGAGATGTAAAGTGGCCTGAGGGCAGGAATGTGTATTTAGCTGGGGAGGTGGAAATGTTCTGGTACACAGTTGTTGTCTTTCTGACCCTTAGGACACAGTGGGGAGATGGCCATGCATGTCCTAGAGTTCTGTTTGCAGTCATATAATAGAGACTGAGTTATAATGGAATTAATAAAAAAAAATGTTGACTTTGATTTCATCACCATAAAGTTCTTATGTAATCAAGATTAGTCAGACAGTATGAGTGGATGTGATTATAATTAGCTGGATATTAGTTAAAGAGGTGGGGTTTTAGGCATGGCTTTCTTGTTTCAGATGTTATGTAGCTCTATTTAGCAAACATTACAAAGAACAAGATGAAATTCTTTTTTAAGAAAAGCAAGTTAAATCTAAAATTTTAGAATCAGAATCACATTTATTCCCCATATAAATTAGAATATATATGTTATTATTACATAATCAAGATTAGTCAGATTGTGCTGATGATCTGGGTATGTATTAAGAATACACATGTTCAAGATGTGATTAGAATTGGTTGGATATTAGTCAAATACAAACCATGCCATTTTAAAATTAGCCACTTGGGCAGGTGGTACAGTTTACCATAAGAATGGGGCAGAGCGATGTTACCTCATTGACCACACAGAGGTGCAGTTTTACAGAGATTGTGAGACAGTGTACACCAACACAAATGGGCATGAAATGCACTTACATTAACAAAACAGCACTCTGCATTGGTACTGTTATTTGATTACCTGGACCATTTGGCTTATGTTTGAATACCTAAGAACATAAATGATCTCAGATGCTTATCATACATGTAGAGTGACTTCTACCCTTGTTGGTGGAACCTGCAGTGTGTTAGTTAATTAGTTAAA